TAGATAGATAGATAGATAGATAGATAGATAGATAGATAGATAGATAGATAGATAGATAGATAGAAAGAAAGATAGATGATAGAATACAAAATTTGAGAATCCATTTTTTTCTTCTGAAAAGAAATTTCCATGCCACGTTTAAAAACATTTCCTCAGTTTCAAAAGAATGTGTCAAGTGGCACATTGTGATTTAAGAAACTTATTCAAATCTCTCTTAAAAATAAGTAGAAATAAATGTGCAATTCTTTAGATTCAAGCTCAAAATCCCACCATCCCCCCTAGCCAGTAAGTTAATTAGATGTTTATGTTTAGAAAAAATCTGGGTTCATCTTCTCTTACTGTTGCTGGTAAAATGAGTAAATCTTAGATACAAACATAACCCAAAGCAATTATAAGCAAGACAATTTTCCACACAAAAGTTGCCGTCAGATGGCAATATGACAGTATCATTAGGAACAAGAGAAACACACAGAAACACATTCATTCGGATCCAGAGAGACAGACTTACGGGATTGATCATTTACTGCCCTATCTGCTGCCAAAATTGCAGCAATCTGTTTACGAAGATGTGCTAATTCATTTTCAAGAACATGAATTTTTTGGAATGCATCTTCACCCGCAACAGTTGTTTTTTCACTTTTTCCTTTTGAAGAAATTGGCGAAGAAAGTACAGATGGAGTGGCAACCCCTCTCCATTCCTCAAATCTAGAAAATATCAGGATACCACTGTGTAAATAAATGTAAGCATTCAAAAAGCCAAGACATTTGGGATAAAGCAAACTTGCCCATGCCTCACATTTAAACTGAAATGTCTACAACACAATCATATATTCACAGAAGTAGCACTGAATTCAGAAGGGTTTACTCCAAATAATTGGCTATAAATAGCACTCCAAACAGAATAGTAAATGTACTTTTTATAGCATCAGTGCTTCTGTTGTTTGCATTGCACTGATTTTTCAAAATCCATAAACCGATGACAACATGCATAAAACAATTCCACTTCAAAAATGCAGATACTTAACCAGCAGTAAGAGTTAATTATGATTGGCTATCTTATTTATTTAAAACTTCTCAATTCCGTATAGCACTGCAATTTTATAGGGTTAGGTTCTATGTTACTATTTTTATTTTCTTAATTATGGCATATTGCTGGTCATTGATGGAATAAAGATAGTGATTAATTGATAGTTATACCACTGATAGAACATGTGCCTGAAGAATCAATGAAGGGGAGTCTTGGCCACACACAGCTCTCTCAGGGGGGAGGCAGTAAATTCCATCAGAGAGAAACCCAGATTAGGATAATGCGCAATCCCAAAATGAATGGGGAAAGGAGAAGCCACATCCTGGAATCCCTCAGGATACCTCTATCAGGGTAGAGGATTATAGTTTTAGTTTGGCAAGATTCTGTCCATTAAGTATAAGCAAAAACAGGATTGTAATAAATTGGATTTTATTGGGTCATCTTTGGGCTTTCACCTGACAACACTTGAAAAAGTCTAGTTGGTTTTACTTGCCTGAATTTAGTGCATGGATTTCTGTCTTCATCTACCACCCACAAGGCATCAGCAAGAGACGGTTGAACAGAATTAACGATCCTGTATTGTTCCTCTGAAGTCTTCAGACATTGGACAAGCTAAAGCATCACACACTTTTATATAAACAATTGTTTTTAATTATTATCTTTCTAGCAGTAGTCCAAAAATACATATTTGTTCAAATCCCTTTTCAATAGGAAAGAAACAATTAAGGAGCAGAGGAGTCTACAGAATCCCAGTTTCATTAGAATGAACCATGTTGCTATGCAAGCACTGAATTTTATGATCTCATGGTACATGGATAGGAATACCAGTGCTTGCCCTATGATTTTGCAGTGTTTACAGGTACTAATTTGGGACTAGAATTACAGGGTAAGTAAAGCAGTTGTAAATCATGACATCACATGACAACACCTCTTAGCGATAGGAATTCTGGCATCTCTGGTTACCATTGTTAAGCAAATCACACCAGGTAGTTAGGCATGGACATCATGTGGCCGCCATTTGTAACCTCCTGCCAGCTTTACCACTGAACCAAAGGTGCTTTTTGAAGAGGAAACAGGACTTTCTGGTTTTTCTTTGAAGATGTTTCGCTTCTCATCCAAGAAGCTTCTTCAGCTTTGACTGGATGGGGGTCAGAACTTCAAAAAGCGGGTCAGCCTCTTCAAAAAGCACTTTTGGGACAACCATGACCTGGATGACTGAGAATCTCCATAGACACTTTACCATGGAACATACTTGTAGGAGTCCAGTAGATAAGGTCACAAATGGGGATGACATGATCACAGGATACTGCAACATCATAATGGCAAGGTGGGTGCTGAATGTCTGGGTTGCAGTCATATGATTGTAGAGATACCAGTACTACCGCCCTTGTAAGTACAAAAATGCATTCAAACAGCCACTGAATGAGTGGCCATTAAGCAAAGACCACCTGTTCTTTGTTATTTCTACCCCTGCTCATATCTCCTGCAAATACCTCTGATAAGAGTAAATAAAAAAATTAAGATATACTGCTTACTATTAGTATTATTTAATAGTAATAATACCAATACTTCAACCATTTTTAACTCTTCCAAAATTCTACTCATCTATTTTTAGGTAAGAAGCTGCCTAAATAAGATTTCCTATATAACTGATAAAAGATACTTAGGATACAATTACTAAAATCCTTATTAACTTCCCTCAGAATGAATACTAAGGTGACAAAATAATATAATGTTTTCTGATTCATTTTTAATTAAGACAGTTGCAACATTTTTCAGTTGAAGTATAATACCAGCAGCATACAGCAAAATATAAACTAACACATTCAAACATTATTCAAAGTAGCAAGAGGTAGTTAATAATTCATTGTCTGAAATTCAGCTTTTGTAAACTGCAATTAATTATCTATTTTGATATTTCAATTATATGTTCGTAATAAATCTAGGTGACTATGACATATAAATTTAAATCTCTTTTACTCATTATTTTACAGTGGTCACTCTTATTTAAAATACATTTCTATTAATTCATGTTCAACTTTTTTTCCAAATTATAAATTTATGCTATATGTGTTCTCTATTACTACATGCTACATATAGCAATATTGAAAAATATATAAATTGACAAATTATTAATTTTAACCTTTACAAATAAGTCCTATACCTGAAAGTGAGGTCTTGAAAAAGGAATTAATGTAAGACACGCTCCCAATCTACGAACAAAACTTCGGGTAGGTCCATATCTTTTTCCTTCTGAAACCCAGGATATCTAAGGATTGAGAAACTTGTTGAAATTCAATGGAAACATTTTTAAATGAGAAAAATCAAAAGCTAATTAACTATTTTAACTATATATCAATTAAATCTCACTATATCTGACATGGCAAGGAAAATATGAATTACAATTTTTAAAATTGTAGTATGGGTGGTTTTTAACTGATCACAATTGAGCCCAAAATTTATGTTGCTAAGTTAGGCATTTGTTAAGTGAGTTTTGCCCCATTTTACGATCTTTCTTGCCACAGTTGTTAAATGAATCATTGTAGTTTTTAAGTTAGTAACATGGTGGTTAAGTGAATCTGGCTTTCCCATTGACTTTGCTTGTTGGAAGGTCACAAAATGGGGTCACATGACCCCAGAAATCACAAAAGATGATCGCATGACCTTGGGACCCTGCAACTGTCACAAATATGAGTCAATTAACAAGCATCTGAATATTGATCACATGATAATGGGGATGCTGCAGTGATTGTAAAAAAGCACTATTGTAACTTTGAATGGTCACTAAAGGAACTATTGTAAGTCAAGGACTACCTGTATTTTCTAAATTATTAATTTTTTTAAAAAATGTTGCTTTATAAAAGCTAGATTCAAGTTCTGTTTGCAAAAGACACTTTTATTCTGTGAAAGGTACCAGAAAGCCCTGTGAATGGAAAAGGATGGTAATTTATAGTCCGTGCCATCTTCCATAGGAACTTCCAGTTTTACAGAGGTACAGATTGTGAGTACAGATTAAACTATCCTTCCCCCCTCTCTAACAGGGTAGAATTCTGTTATTGGAGATACTAGGTAAATGTTAATATGTTTTCGTTCCCTATTAATAACAATGACAAATGAAGAAAGCAATCTATCGAAGGCTGACAAGGTAATACGAAACAGAATGGATGCAATCAATATACAAATATCTATATAACCTCTAGTTACAAAGGAGTGGGGAGCATTGATGACCTCACCAAACAATTCCTGGAAATAATACATAATTCTTGGAAGTATATTCGTGAAAAGGTATTTGAAGAAAGACGAGATCCAATCATACGAATAAGGCCATTTAGATACAATTTACACCTTTGCAAGGCCTAAATTGGGAGAAAAATAATAACAAAAGAAGTGACTTAGTTCCAAATGGAAACTTCTGTTGATACCATTGTTGTAACTTTAGAGCTACCATATTTGGGCTGCAAAAACACTTCAACAGATATGTTATTTAAAATAAAGTGATATAAAAATTATAATTTAAAATTATTTATAGTAAAATTTATGGTAATGTAAATATGTGTATACTAAGGTTGTAATTTCTTACCACTTCTCATTTTCATTTGCAATATGATTAAAGTAAATTTAGCTTCAGGAGTATATGATTCATGGCTATTAACAGCCAATCAACTTGAAAGATATACCTCCAATCCCATTCCATCACAATTGGGACCTTCTATCACTAAGTCAGGTGGTTGTTAAGTCATGCCCAATTTTATCTGTTGTTGTTGCAGTCATTAAGTGAATCTGGCTTCCCACATTGACTTTGTCTTTCAGAAGCTAATGAAAGTTGCAAATGGAGATCCCATGAACCTGCGACATTGCAACCTTCATAAATACATACCAATTTCCAAGCGCATGAATTTTGTTCATGTAACCATGGGAACACTGCTATGATTAAGTGCCAGGAGTTTGTAAGTCACTTTTCAGCACCGTTAAAACTTACAACAATGTGTATAGAGATAGACTATAATTCTCAAAAGACAAGAGAAGTGGTATGGAACTGTATATTGTAGGCCCTTTAATATAAAAAATCATGCAAGCACATATTTGTTATTCAGATATATCTGCTTACCAGTTCTGGGACCACACCATAATACTCCAGCAATTGCCGTAAGAGATTCAATAGCAGAGACATTTAAAGAATAGTGTAATCTATTAAAACAGACACAAATTAAAATTGATGAACATGCCAGAAGAGTTCACTAACCATTTACTTAGCTGCAAGGAAAAATATGTACTGCGTTTTTCAGACTTTAAGTCGTACCTTTTTGTTTCCCAAAAGGGAATTAAAATGTCTGTGCGTCTTATAGACTGAATATTGCGGAAGCCCCACTCACCCACTGGTCATTTTTTGGCCTCTCTAAGCCACATTTTCAGGCCTTTTTTAAACCCACTTTTCAGGCCTTTTTCCAGTCCATTTTTGGGGCTTTTTTCAGCCCGTTTTCTAGGCTTTTTTGGCCCCTTTTTGAGGCTTTTTCAGCCCCTTTTCAAGGCTTTTTTCGACCCATTTTTGAGGCTTTTTTGATTCAAAAAAATATGAGCCAAAAAACCCTTGAAAATGGCCCAAAAAAAGCCTAGAAGCAGGCTGAAAATGCCTAAAAACAGGCCGAAAAAACCCTCAAAAAGAGGCTGAAAAAACCCTGGGAAATGGGTAGAAAAAAGACTGCAAAAGGGCCAAAAGGCCCCAAAAAGGGCTGAAAATTTGGCACATGGAAGCCAAAATCCCTCCCCTTTTAAATGTAGGTGTGTCTTATAGTCAGGTGCGTTTTATAATCCAAAAAATACAGTATTTTAGATCAACCTTTACAATATTTAGTTTCAGTTTAATGCCAGTATCCAATTTATAAACATAATGTAAAGCAGCCTGTGCTATTCTATTGTGAACAACAGAATGTAATACTAGGAAAATAAAATTTAAAGTTTACGAAAAATAAGCTTGTTTACATACTGTATGTGTGCATTCTCCTACATAGCCTAACATTCATACATATTTAATCATATTTCTTAATGTTCCCAAAATGTTTGTGATCAAATCATGAAAAAGAATCAGGAAAAAAAACTTCATGCAGTGGAAAAAATGGGTGGGAACCATTGGGAAACGATTCCAGAAATCACAAGAAACTTTGTTTATTGAATTTTCCAGTGCAATATATACATTTATTGATCAGGCCAAAGCTTCACTATGGATTAAAATGAAAACATGGAATTTCTCACATAGGGGAAAATTGCAAAACCTTCCATATCATTCCTCCTATGCTGGAATGAAACTTATGAATTATGTTTGGATTACTCAATATGTCCATCTCTGGATGCAAGATGACTGGTTTGGAATGGTGCTTTGATCCAGTCTCTTAGATTCACTTTCTCAATATTATAAATGGTAACATATTTAGTGCTTGCATGAGTACAAGCTGTGATCACATACAAGTTCAGTGGAGATCCATTTACCAAAATGTCAGATATCAACATACCATTAAAATAATTTACAAATTATTTATATGGATGGCACTTTACCATATTAATTTTTAATTCTAATCATATTGATTTTTTTGCATTTTATGCACATAAAAATATATCAGAATTTTACTTGAGTTTGACAAAATAAAAATTCATACAGTCACAAAATAGTAGAAAAGAGATATAGTATACTGATTCTTTGCTGCTACCTGGAAGCCATTCAGATTTTTACATCCCAGTTCTGATAGTACCAGACATATCTGAATTAGGAGTTTCCCATTTGATCCTTTCACAAACATAAATATCATTTTTGTTCTCTGTATAACATTTACTATTTTTCATAAATTGACATGAAAAATATCAGGTTTACAAAAATAAAAAACTAGTGTTTATATAATTATTTAAATACATTTAAAATTTATACAGAAATGTTTTACAATAAATATCTTCATATTCTACCAAAACAATACTATCTCACAAAGTCAGGCAGCAATCAAATTTTAAAAAGATTTAAACTTGACTCCAAGGGGAGTTTTAAATTCTAGTTCTGCACTCGAAACGGTAAGATCGAAATACCTTGAGGATGGATGGATAGATACATACATAGATATAGTTCGATGTGAACAAAAATGAGAAAGTGTATTCTGAAGGCAGACAATCAATATGAATCTAGATTAGTTTTGCATTACGCCAGTCGTAGTAATAAAGCCACTCCCAAAACATTTTGAACCGGGATTTAAGAACCGTTCTTCAGTAAGGCTAACTTGTTATTGGCTTTGACCAGTGGGATTATCTTTATACTAAACTATACTAAAATTCACGTTAGCCACATGCGGATAAAAACAAACAGAAGCGGAGCGAGGGTACAAGCTGGCCAAGACTCAAGCCATCCGGGACCCACCGTGGACGGGGGCTTCAGAGCTGCCAGCCCGTCGAAGAACCGCGGGATATTGACGGACCCCACCAGGAGCGACGCGTGAACCTTTTTCGCTGGAAACCCTGCGGGAGCGGCGCGCGAGACTCCCCTCCGTCCGTTCTTCACCAAAAGGTTCCTAACAGGAAAGCGGCGAGAGAAGGTAGCGGCCGCGAGCGTCTGCGCGACAATCAAAAGTTGGCACCCTTTTTCTTGATTGGCGGGATTGGGAGCTCGATTGATTCGCTGCAGCCAATCAAGCGGGTGCAAGGAGGCATCTGACGCCCCAACCAATCATAGAGCTTACTTTTTGTTCATAGATCTATGCAGGAGGGAGGAGGAAAAATCAAAACAGACATCTTGGGGAAAATAAGTGTCTTTCATTAAGCAGTCTAACGGGATTTCCGTAATTTACCATGAAGAAGCGAAACCTTAATTTTTCCAAACTGGGGAGAAGGTCGGTTGCTAAATAAGAACGTGCCATATTTATTGCTCGGCCTCGCAGAAGGCATTGACTTAGTGTCAGCCACTTGATATGCATCGCTAGCAATTCTTGCTGGTCTTTTTTTCATCTGAAGTAAAAATTTAGTCTATTTTTTTCTTTTGCTACTACAAAAATAATTTATTTAAGGCCGTTATTGTTTATCAGCTGACAGAAGTTATTATTCATTCGCTGATAGCACTCTTAAATGAAGTTCAGCATTAACCTACACATTTTTCTGGAAACATAATGAAAGCAGCCTTGTGGCAGTATTGTCTTCTTGAGTTTTTTTCCATATTGTATGAACTACTCCACGCATTGCTACATTTACAATGTCCCTCCATCCCCAAAGCATTGACCTTGGACACTAAAGATTGCCTACAGCAGGCTTAGAATGTATGGACCCAAACTTTAGGTTATATTGTGATTTGTCCTAGGACACTTTCAGGACAGAAATATTCTTGCTTGCCATTGCTTATTAAGAGTGAATGTAAATACATACATATAACATATTGCATGGAAATGTTAATGAAAAATGTATTCTTTCCAGAGATTTTTGATGTATCATTTTCTCCAAGTGCATTATTCTATTTTCAAATTTGGGTTCTTGATTTCTATCGCTATAATAAATGTCCTTTGTGCAATCTGAGCTGCCTCAAATATATTACCGTAATTCCTACTATCCAAACCTATTTCATTTTATTTGTTGTTCCAGAGATGCCAGGATTTTCCTCTTTATGTAATATAGAGGATATAGAGCATTACTGGTAGATCTTTTAAAATATTTTTTCACCCTCGGAATATACATACAATTTTTTACTAGAAAGACTACCTATGCTTACGCTCCAATCTTAGAATTATGGCCAATTGCAGCTCCCTAAACATGGCACTATAAAACATGTAACCTTTGTGTCTTCATATTGTTTGCTGATTTGATGTGCATACATACCATCCCCCTTTATTTGACTGCTTGGCTGATAGTACTATTTCATCATTTCCTATTTTTGTTTTACCCAGCCCTTTATTTTAGGGTCAAAAGAAATTGGAGAACACCTTTTTGGATACTACTACTAACACAATTACTCTTGTACATTTTCCCCTGTGGCTTAGATTGTTTTACCTAACTTTGCTAGGCAATATAAGGCCATCTATTCTTCTCTGTTTGTTTTTACTATTTTATGTAATTCATTTTTTCCCACCCCAATACCTTTTACAGCACTTGCTCTGAAGGTTGGATGAGGAAAAACAAACTAAGCCTCAACCCTAGCAATACTGGTTGTGGGTGTTTGAGACTCCTAGTGCGAAGTTCTTCCATCTTTGAACCTCAATGCTTGATAGGCAGGTGGCAGCTGTGTTCAGGAAGGTCTTTCACACTAATCTTGTTCACCAGTTGTGTCCTTTCTTCGACTGGGAGGCCCTTCTTATTGCAATGTGCTGAAGAAGGGGTTGCTTTGATAATTACTTGAAAGATACCAGTGGTCCCACAGCTGCATGAGAATTGGGCAGATTGTACCATACCCAGGGACATCCATGCTTCATGAACTGCACTGGTTCCGGTCTGATTTGGAATACAATTTAAGGAACCAATTGTCACTTTTAAAACTCTAGAGCATAGCTAATTAAGAGATATATGCGTCATGGTTTCTATCCACATTATAACATCTGATACAGTTGGCTACTTCTAGTTCCATCAAGTAGTTACGTAGCAGAGGCCAGGAGGTGGGCCTTCTCTGCATCCCCCCATCTCGAGATTTATGTTTCCATCTTATCAGCCTTTAAAATAGCATTAAAAGCATTACATTTCCTCAGGCTGTAGGGTTGCAGTTAAAGTCAAGGTAATGAAGTGGTAGTTTATCCGTTACTGGGTGAGAGAATTAGTGGTTGAACCATCTAAATTGCATTATCCTCATTTTGTTAAAAAAAATATTGCTAGCATTTGTTAACCTACACAAAATTGTTGGGGCTGGACAATCTACAAATCTTATTAAAAATAAATGAAATTGTAAAAAAAAAATTGAAGATTCATGAAGATTGACTGAATTAATGAAGATTGACTGAGTTCTCACATAGTGTAATAAACCAATTAGTTTCAGACTGTTCATAAGATTAATTATTGTGGTCAGTAAAGATTACTTTTTGGCTTAATGGTGTGAACCAGGTCATGATTAAAGAAGTACCGGTGACAGATTATTGCCTAACCATCCTGATAACCTATGCGGTGTTCATATGCCATTATGAGAATTTAACTTTTTAAATAAATTTTGAAGCCAAGGATTTTTATTTAAGTTAGTAACCAAATAGCTAGAAAGAAATTCCAAGTTGAAATATGCAATTTTTTTTGTTTCCAACCATTGAGAACATAAGATATTACAAAAAATCCCAACTCTTCCAAAAGGCTTGAGAAACACTGTTTTACGTTTGAAGCAATTTAAACCCGAATGTTGCATACATTCATAATCCAAAGATTTTAGTGGTGAACTAAAATTATTCATGACAATATGAAATAATACTTCATCAGCTAAATATTCT